GAAAGAAAAAGAAGAGGAGGGAAGAAAGGACGAAAAAGAAGAAAGGAAGAGGAAAAGGAAGCAGCGAGGACGAATCGACGTGAGTGGGTGTCGAATGCTGAAGCAGGACGTAAGGTTCTTTACGCGCGAGGATCAGGCCGTCCACGTATACGACGGCTGATAAATAAATAACGCGAGGGTGCAAAAGGAAGGGGTAGCTGCGAGCACGGTCAGAAGTTGGACGGCAGTAAAGGAAAGTAACGCCGGCGCCCGTGAAAGAGAATCAATTCGATTCGTACTCAACCTCCCCCATTCCTCTGCCGCCCCCTTTATCCCTCACCCTCGCGCAACCCAGTATCATTTCCTCACCTCGTCTCTCACACCTCCGACAAGTCTCAGGCCACCCACGATGGTCGTTTCTTTCCAACCCTCGTCGCCGACCTTCTCTCTGGGCCTCCGCGCCCTCCGCTTCACAGCGCAACAAGTGCGCCCCGACTCGCATCTTTAAGAAAGCGGTCGTCCTCCTCAACCTCCGCCTCGCGCCCACCGTCGTCTCCCGTCTTCCACCCCCGACTCAAGCCACCGCCGCCACCTAACACCACCGTTCCACGACACAACCTCCTCGTCTTTTTCCTTCGCGTCTCTCCCAGCCTTGCTCACCCCTTTTCTCATTCTCCGCGAGTCTCTCATCCCTCGACCGGCCCACAACTATCTTCCAAATCACTCCACACACTCTCTTTCTCACTCTACCTATTTCTCTCTCTCTCTTTCTCTCTCAGTTCTTCTTCTTTTGTGCTCGCCCCTCTTTCTCGCTCTTTCGACTATTCTTCTCTCGGAGATGGCTTGCGCCTCCGAACGACTGCCAACCACGCCACTCTCTTGGCTCGACGCTTCCTCCTCTGCTCGTCCTCCACCCCCTATCCTGCTGACGGTGTCGTCTCTTGTTCCGCGTATTCTCCTCGACAGTACATTTCACGTACACGTGCGGATGGTGGCACGCGGCTGGGTGAGCGGGCGGGTGAGGGTGGCGAAGACGACGCTGAAAGACAGACTTCGCGGCTCGACTAACACGAATCCGAGGCGCCGATTTGAGAACTTTCGCGGGCACTTCGCGGCTGCGAACCGGCACAATGCCGGGGCGGATGGAGAACGAAGTGACTATCCGCGCGATCGTTAAAAAGCGCCTGGCATAAGCAGGACAAAGTACGATCGCGTGAATTCATACGACTCTTTCTCCCACGACTTATACCCTGGTCTTAAAATTTTTCGAAATAGACCTGCTACTTATCGATGATTAAACCGTGGATACAAACATTATTTGCAATATATTTTCGCAACAGCTTCGTGAGGATGCATTAAAACGAAATAAAAAAAGAAGTCACGCGCGAATTCTATCAAGTTGCAAGATTGAAATAAGGGGACAAAAGTAGCACCACTTTTGGGGAGTTCTATTTGAATTCAGCCTCGAGATGTTTGATGCCGAGAACGCATAAACTCTCGAAAAGTTGTAAATCTTTTATGACTACTTTGGAACGAGAAGATTGCTCTTTCTCCGTAACTGCGTTTTCACGTGAATATTTTTACTTCGCTGTTCTCTCTCTCTCTCGTAATCGTAATCGTAATCGTTATTTCGAATTACGCAAACCGCGATACTTAAATCCGGGTTTAGTACGTCGCTTCTCGCAAAGAGCGCAGGATTTGGAAGCTGTCGATGGACGGAAAATTTAATGAATACCCGTTGCGTTACAGAATACCGTAACTACACGGACATCTGCGACCCTGTCGAACGAGCCGGCGCTGGATCGTCATTCGATGAAACACGCTGAATTTATTGGCGGTTTAATGCCGCCTGGGACGTTTATAGGGGCGCAATAAATAAACTCGAGCGCGCTATTACGAGTGACAGCAACGTTACTGGAGGCCAGAGTGCCGCACGCGGGAACATTACATCGGTGAGTGTGATGACGCAAAACCGCCAGCCCGACGTAGCCCACTGCTGAAATTTTTTCCCGATATAATATTAATATGTTATGTTTAATATGGAAAGATTAACGGACATTTCACCGAAGGCTATCCGAATCCTTGCCAACATATATATATATATATATATATATATATATATATATATATATATATATATATAAAACAAGCGCCCCCGTTCGATATATGAGATGAAATTTACACATGAATAATTACATATAAAATGAATAGAAATTCCTTATCAGCACAATAAAATTCCACTGTCGTTATACAAATCTATATATATATATAAAATAGAATATCTGCCTGTCTGTACCCGATAAACTTTTAAACTCTTTGATTAATGTGGACCAGATTTTGCACAGTTACTCTCTAAGACTCTGCCGAAAATATGTAGACTACCATAAAACCTGGATACCTCATCCTCTTTCCCTGATTTCATACGTTTCCTTGATACTTTGTGTAACTACCGGGCGAGTAGTTGAAGCTAGTGCAAAATAAATCACAACGCAATTTCATTCCTAAATATTAACTGCTCTCAAGCTGCAAGGCAGCCCGTCGGAGAATTGCCCGACTGTGTCAGGACTTAGCAGCGAGCCTAACGTGCAAGAGAACACGTTGACGTTGTCGTCCCCGATGTCGAAGACGAGCAACTTCTCGAGCGCGGCTCGACGTCACGATGATCGACGAAGTGCCCGAGTGGATGTGCCAGTTTAACGATCAGGAAATTCGACGAAAAGGAAAGTTATTAATGGCCAAAGTTGTAGAGAGGGCGAGGGCGTGCGAGCGAGCGAGCGAGCGAGCGGGAGAGCGTAACCCTCTCGATTACAAAGCGCGAGCGGGAAGTAACTGCAGGGCGGCGTAGGGTTACAAATTGCGCCCGAAAGTTGCCCGAACGGCGGGATAATGGATTCCGGAATAAACGAAACTGCCGGGGCCCATAATTTAAGCGGACGCCACGCCACGCGGCGCCCGCTTTCGTCACGCTCTTTCGACGCCGCGCGACGTCGAGCGGGCTGCGAAGTGGCAGGAAATCAATCGGACCCCGGGACACTTCGGGGCTCCGCAAACGAGAGGATTCGCAGCCGCCCGTTGACCACGCGCGCGTCGAAGGGAAGCTACGCGTCATGTATGCGGCAAGTAACGAACACGCCCGTGTAGCGCGCCCTGTAAAGCGAGCCGTTTCGTGGACGGTCACAAAAATCGAATAAAAAATTCGATCACCGTGTATGAACCGTTTGCGTGAAACGATACGCCCCGATCTGACCGTGGCTGTGTGTGCGTGTGTGTGCGTGCGCCCATGTAAGTGGTGCGCGAGTGTGCTTCGCGTTCGCGTATGAAACGTCAGCATACGTTTGAAATAATTAAGGTTAATAACGCGCATTTCTCGTTCTGAGAGGAAGTTAAGCTTTAATCTTGAGAAATGTAAGATTTCATGTGAATTTAATGCGAGATAACGGTGAAATTATTAAGCGACCTACAGCCACGGCTTTAGTTGCATGTCCTAATTAGTGACAGTATCATTTATTTTTCTCAATAGAGCAGTTAACACCACATTTATCCTAAACATGCTTTCTTACTCTAAATGTTATATGTCACTAGTTATAACAAGTTTCGAATAAAATTAAGAGTCAATGTAATTTTCATAATTAATTTTCATAATTAATTCATACATGTCATTAATCGACATTAGGACGTTTATTTTTGCCCCTAATGACAACCTAAATAAATATAACATAAAATGATATAAATACTTTTGTTTCCAAAAAAAACATGTGGTATTTGTAAATCTTATTTATTAGAGAATTAATAAATAACATTAATATTAACTCCTTCCAAAATTTATTGAATAGCAAATATGAATATTATATGAATTATCAGTCTATAAGTTGTCATGTTTAAGTCAATAATCAGTTAATAATACATTTATGATTCTGTCCCGATTTGTGATATTCAAACAATATGATTTATAATTTTTTATTAATAAATTTATATTTCTTTACGCGATGAGGTTAATTGGTCACTAATTGAGACACTTGCCTTAAACGATTCATCTGATACTCGATGACCAAATATTTCAGTATTCTTATGCGAAATAGCAAGCTATAGTTTTGTAAATTTGGATCTTGCCCTCGATCGTAAATAAATTTTTTATCTGCAGAATATGTTTACGGCTTCGCGGGCAAAATATTACCTAGGTTTAATAATAATAATGTCTCAAACAAACGCATGTCCAGGATTGCGTTATTCGTCCGTGTAAATAAACGAGCGTAACGCGCGTTTATTTACACGGCAAGAAAGGAGCTTTCCTGGATGTAATCGCAAATTAGTCGAATCTGGTTACGAAATGTAAAAGGCATGTTGCGAATGCGTGCATTTGAATTGTAGAACGCGCTCACTGGTAATAGGCTGGCACGTTTATTTCCGCGCAAAGACAGCATGGCTATAACGCAGATTACAGCTTACGCCGCGTGCAAGCGGCACGCTATTACATGACATTGTTAAATTCCGCGTATGATCTGAAATAACCGTGTCCTTTATTGTAGGAGAACTACGCAATTTTCGTCGCGGTGCTTTGTCATTACGACGGATTACGGCAGGCTCGTCATTTTTGCCGCCTTGTGTTTTTCAAGACGTGCGCCTCGTGGACGGCGATTTTGTTTAAGTCATTACCATCGTCGACCAATGACACGTCGATTATCATGAGCCAAAAAAGGTAATAAAATGTCCTGCCGTTGCGCAACATCCGCACAACTCGATACATCCCACGCTAATTGCAACCGCGAACACGTCCCGGTCTTTCACAAACGGCGAACGGACTCTCGTTTCGCGATCGGAGGATTCATTAAATCCGGCCATCGACGCGGCCGGGTAAGTCGGACGGTTTAAAGCCGAAGAAATTGATTTTTAAAGAGCGCGGGGCCGAATTACCATCGTAACGAGCGCGAGACGGGCCCGGATCATTTGCATGGACACGGCCCACGGGCTCTCGTCCTCCCCACACCCACACCAAGAGCACAACCCCTCGTGTTCTTACTTACCGCGAACAAGGATGAGGATGCTGAACAGCAGCGCGGTGCTGAACGGCCAACCGGCCATTCTGGTGTGCAGCGTTACGTCGATTCAGCTTCCTCCTGAAACAATACAAGCGTGGCCAATCAATCAACCCATCCGTCCCGCTATTCCAACTACGATCCCTCTGTCCCTTCCTCCCTCCCTCTCATCCCTCCTCTCACACTCTGCCTCTCACCCTTTACACCCCTCGTTCTCATAGCTCGGACCACCTCTCGTTCCACCTTTCCTCCCCAATCCCCGGTCCTTCTTGGCAGGCTGCCCGTTCTACGTCCAACTCACCCTGTACCAAACCCTTTCCCCGACCATCCAACCCCATCCCGCTTACACGCCAATCCCCTATGCCGTATCGACAATTTTTTTCCTCCCTCTCGAATCCGTGCCTGGGGGCTTGTCTGCTCAATGAAAAGTCCTCCCAGACGGTGCGCGTCGAGCGACGTACATAATCGTGAAACATGCGATGCGTGCCACCGGCTTGGCTATATATTTGGAATTCTCTCTCTCTCTCTCTCTCTCTCTCTCTCTCTCTCTTTCGCGTTTGCGCGCGCGTTTTTTGCCGTTCGACGCGAGCCGCGGAGGTCCTCGACCTCGCCGAGGTCCTTGAACAGCGCCGGATGACTCTAGGGGATTTGGCGTATTAACGGTCCGTTTAGTGTAAACGCGATGTATCCGACATGGCCACGTGCTGAACTTCAGTAGCATTTCGAGTGTATGGTCGAGAAATGTTTGCGGCGTTCTCATAACGCAAGGGTAATTAACACCGCATCGTACACTACCTTTAATGTCTATTTACAATCGCTTAATTTATCTATATCAAATAAACGTTCGAATTTATGTCTGGAAACTGATTTGTGTTTAAAATGTCTCTCTAGTGTCCGCCATCAGTTGAAAACAACTCACGACTTTCTACTGATGAAAATAGAATCTTTGTACTAAAAGTATTGCGTCGCGGGAACTTACAGAATCGTACGTTATTAAATAAGCGGTTCCGACCATCTCCGAAGAAAGAAAGAGAGAGAGAAAGAGAGAAAGAGAGAGAGAGAAAGAGAGAGAGAGAGAGAGAGAGAGAGAGAGAGAGAGAGAGATTCCGAGCACGCTGTAAGTGGCAGCTCGAGCAGATAAACGCGATATACGACATATCGATATCCCGTTAAGCGGAAGTACCGATCCGCGCTTGCGAAAGTGCGAGTTACACGACGGCAAGTTATTTGCTTTTGGTATCGAGCAACGTCCTTTCTGCGGAGGCAAAATGTCCGCGCTTTTTTACCTGTGTCCCTTCACAAACTTCATTCAAAGGGGCCGAATCTAGAGCGTTCGATTCGCTTCACGGCGCTGTTGCATCCCTGGCTCATCGCAGAGCCAAAGGGAGTCTTGCGCGCGCGCGCACACACACACACACACACATACACACACACAGCCCTTGTGCACTTCGTTGGTATGCACACACAAACGATTTAGAAGGGCGTGCTCCTTCTACCTGCGTTCATCTCCCGCTACTTCTTCACTGAATATTTTTCAAGCTTCCACTTGTGCGCGCCTTGAAGCGCATATAAAGAGCTACAAGAAATATACTTGCATCCCATTGAATGGAATGAAGAAATTTTAATTAAAAAGTAGTATTCTATCATCATCTACTTTCAATACACGTGTCTAATTTCGTAGGAATCACTTCTCCCGAAGCAGAAACGGAGAGGCAACTCTCAGTCACACGGAATATATCTTTCACGTCTGTCTAAATGGAAATTTTCCTTTTCGACACAAAAGCAAAAATTAACTCTAGAAGATATGGCCACTTTTTTTTATTTGGATCCTTTGCGCGCCCCTTTGTAGACCGGAATATGCCGGTCTAAATAGCTCGAACATCCCGGATTACCATCGCAAAGAGTTAATCTGTAATTTTAAAAAATCGCGAACGAGGGGAAAAGTTCAACGAAAACCTGCACGGGTACATACGTGTCGGCCGAAAGAGACAAGCGAGATTCCCGGAAGTTTCCTGTTGCGCGCAACAGCCCTTATTCGAGCGCCGATGAAACAGAACACCAGAAAGCAATTTTGCCGCGCTCACAATTAAGTTTACGGACGAGATCGAGTGTCCGACACACCATTTCCTCATGGCGGGACACGAGAACCGACAGGCGGCAAAACAGGCGCGCAAAAATCGATCAGCTAAAAGAGACTTAATAACACATGGCGGTTGACCTGGTTATTTTCAAGCAAGATGTCCAAGTTGTTGATGTTCGGAAATTGGGACGCTCTTAAATGGGAATGTTCGCAAGGACAGGTGCAAAAATTATATCGATCTTCAAGCACCAATGTCGAGTCCAACTGTGAGACAAATTAATATCATCAACCGGACTCGATTTCGTAATCATGATGAAAGCAATCTCAATAAAATATCCTCCACGGCAGGCCACTCTTCACATAGATGTGATAGAATTTTAACTTCGTAGCGCTCGGTTGTTCGTCTGACTAGTTGGATCGATTTTATACACTCGTTAGCATTCGTAGTGAGCTGCCAGTCATCGTTCATTTTGAGCTATTCGCTTTCGAGAGTTATCGCTTGTATCTCTTTCAGAGAAACGTAAAATGGTTTGTGCACTCTCTTAAAGTGAATTGATCAAGATATTTATGACTGAATCAGTAAAAGGAGCAATTCACCGATAATTAATAAATGTACACTGATTTTCAGTGAAAATATTCCCACTTTACTGCTTCGTTTTTCGCTAATTTCGACTAGTGAACGTAATTTTTCGCTAATTTCAACTAGTGAAAGTAAGCTTCCAATGCAAAATCTGTGATGAACAAATTCGTTGGAAGTTATACCAAGTCCAAGTTTTTACGTCAATAACGACAGAATTGATAGCTCCCATTACTTTGCGCGTAATCACATCGTTTGTCATGGAAGCCTGCTCGCGAAATACGTCAATAATGGAAGAAGTCGCTACTAGCACGTTTAGTATCACGGTTTATTTTGGGAATCCTCTGCGCAGACCATATTACATTTGTCTTCATGTAATTATGTAAACCAGATCTGATTTTATTATGTGCGAATATACAGAGTAAAATATCGTCGTCACACATATGTGACACGTTGGTAGCGAACATATTGAGTAAGATTGGGAATTTTCAGCAAAGATGAACTAGAAGAGAGAGATCGGTGCGTCTCACATGTGTGACGCGAAAGTATTGACTTGTCACTGAACCACCAGTTACAAGTATAGCATTTCAGTGAGGAATACATTATACTGTAGAGAAAATACATTATACTGTAAATCGATTATATTGTAGAGAATATGAAGTGAGAATTGCCGATTTCATTTACCGTGGCGGAGCAATAATGCAATTTCACTCGGATTCGCTATATCTATCTTCGTGGTCTATGATTAGTAGGAATTAAACGGGGACCATCTGACTCACGGAAAATCCCTTATGATTCTCCATTTCGCGAGACTTCTGACCACACGTGCATCATTTAACACAAGTACGCTTTCAGGGAATAGTCGGCGCTGTCGACTCGACGGCCACTCGTTCGCAACCTCGAATTACACATACCGCGTAAGCCCCCCAAGATTCTAAGCCGTCCTTAGAAATTTCACAATTCTGAGTTGCCTGCTACGGTTTCGCGGACGTTCTACGCGCAACCTGCGCCAAACTAATTAGCGCGTTACACGGTTTGCGTAAGCGAGTAATACGATATTAGATGTAACGTCGCGGAGCGACGTTCATGTTTAAATCACGGTAACATAGACCGAGGAGGGAGGGAATGGGG